TTATGAGGGCAAAATCCATCTAAAGTAGGATCCATTGTCTCCAAGGCTCTATCTTCATTCCAAAGCTGCCATGTCTGATGAAAACCAAGATTGTATTTCTCATACAAATATAAAGGTGTGATAATATATTCATTCAAAATGAAGAGATAAGAGAGGAAGCGTGAAGAGAGAAAAAAGAAACTTACATATCCTACAAGGTTAAGTGGATGCTCAGAATAATAGCGACTGGTATTCTTCATTCCGCTTACAAGCTCTAGTAGCAAAACTCCGAAGCTAAAAACATCAGTTTTGATAGAAACAAGGCCATGAAAGGCGTATTCTGGAGACATATAACCACTGTAGAAATCATCAAAACACCATTTTGTCAACATTTGGTAGGGCAAACAAAGACAATTTACAAATGTAGAACTACTTACTATGTTCCAACAACTCTATTTGTGTTTGCTTCAGATTCATTCAGTCCAAATATTCTAGCCATACCAAAAGCGGATATTTTTGGATTCATCTCACAGTCCAATAAAATGTTGCTGGCCTTTAAGTCTCTATGAACCACTCTCAATCTAGAATACTTGTGAAGATAAAGAAGCCCCTGAGCAATCCCTTCAATGATGTTAAGACGCATCTTCCAATTCAACATTTTCTTCTTTGCAGGATCTAATTGTCAAATTTTAGCTTATTGAGCATGAAATTTCATCAACTGGTATCAAATGAAAGGCGACAAATCAAGTAGGAGAAAGTTTACCTAATAGAAAGGAGTCCAAGCTTTTGTTTGGCATATACTCATAGATTAATATCTTTTCATCTCCTTGAATGCAAAATCCTAGAAGCCTCACAAGATTCATGTGTTGCAGCTTTGCAATTAGCAGTGCTTCATTCTTGAACTCAGCCACTCCTTGGCCTGAACTTCTCGAGAGTCTTTTTATTGCCACTTCTCGACCATCAAATAGTGTACCCTGTAAATTTTCTCTTTAGCTATTGCTTACCAGAATTCACAATAATTTCTTCATTGGTATGTATTACCTTGTAAACTGGTCCAAAACCGCCTTCTCCAAGCTTATTTGCAGTTGAAAAGTAGTCTGTAGCAGAGACAATGCTTTCAAAGCTGAAGACATGGAGCTCATTTCTATCCTTCTTATGACCTTTTGGCTTTCCAAATGAGATGGAAGGCGCATCACTGCCTTCCAATTCTTTTATTAGTGTCCTTTGATTAATGTTTTCATCCCCTGATCAAATTAAAAGGATCATTTTAGAGTTTAAAAATGATAAAAACAATAAACACACATATATGTTGCAGAGAGACGAACCATTTGATGTGCATTTTTTCCATATGATGTAGCAGAAAGAGAACAGAGTAGGTATGATCATCATTCCTCCAACTACAATGGTTAGCCATAGCCACCATTTATTCCCTACAATTGATAGACAAACATATTTACTAGCACAAACATCTTAATGCAATTGATCAAGAAGGAATTTTATCAGTAGGTTAAGAACTTTGTAAACCTTGACAATGAAGCAAACATACCTTTGGAAGGAAGCATGTATATCATGCGACCGTTATACGTTTGTCTGAAAAATGCCCTCGATACCCAAATTTCACAGCCAGTTTCATCCTTATCATTCGTGGTAGCAAAGGCAAAACACGAACAGTTTAGCAAGCATTTGACCTTACAATCTTCAAGAGTCAGGTTTTCACTATCGCTGAATCTGTATCCAGGGCTGGACATTGCACCGTAGTCCGAGGAGATGCGATCGTAATCAAGCATAGTATCCCTGCACTCAGGAAGCTTTTGCTTTGTGCATCCGGCTGTAATGGATGAACTGTATTGATTAGTACATGAAACTAAATTTCTCCAGCTTCCATCAACATAAATCTGGAGCACATCAAACGAGTCCAGATAATCTATTCTTAGTTTTGGGAAAACGACTAGTGCTTGGTTTGCAGTGAAATTGAAGTACGTTTCATTCTCATTTTGAGTGAAGCTAAAGTGGTAGCCAGAATCCTGCAAGGACTTTAAGTGTGGAAAGCCAGAGCTGCTACGTTGCCAAGGTCCACTTCTCCAGTATACATCATCTCGCCGCAATATGACCAGCTGTTTTGTGTCGTTGGGATCCACTGCCAGTGTAAAAGAGCCTGAGGCTGGTGAGAAGAAACTTCTCCTCGATGTCAGAGTCCAATTGAACCCAGTTTTCAAGTTAAATCCTAGCTTCATCCCCGGTAGGAGAGTGTCCGTTGGATGATCAAAACTTTGCCATAAATTCCCCTTCACAGATCCATCTGAATTCAGTTCCTGCAGTACAAAGTTGCCATCGACCTGTAGGGTGGCACGAGCCTTTGAAGCTCTAGTTGAACATAAGGCAATGATCTCCTTCTCACCAGATAAAATCTGCAGGCATCCATTGCGGTTGACTGATAGAATTCCAGAACGATTGAAGATTGGGTTGTTTCGATTTGCAATCCACACTGGGAATTGGACTATTGGAGTGTTGCCTTCATTTTTATACCATCCGCTGTCCTTATACCATATTCCTAAGAAAGATTTATCTGCATAGCTGGAAAGCTGGAAGAATCCTAACCTGAAGATACCATTAGATGATCTCAGCAGCTCGCCATGTCTGAGCTGTTCGCCTTGCTCTAAAGTGTTAGTCTCAGAACAAGCAAGAATCTTCAAACATGAAAGACAGAGAAGCACGAGTGCTCTGCATATGCTACCCATTGTTCCCCAACTTGTAGAGTAGAACTATGTTCGATTTGCAATCCACACGGGGGATTGGACTATTGGACTATTGGCTTGCTTGCTTCTTCTGCAATGTGACAGTGTGGGGTTGAAAGTTTAGACTTTCAAATTTAGAAACTGAACAATCAAGAGTCCTTCCAAAACTAAATTTTTTATAGTGGAGAAAGAAAGAGGAAAGTAGTTTCTCTACTTTCGCGATCAGAGGTTCAAAACCGAAAGCGTGTAACCGAAGTTTGAGTCTTGCCATGAAACTGAAATCGCATCTTTGACTAGTAGCAGAGAAAGAGAATTTCAATCTGTGTTCCGAATCGTCCTTGAGGATGCCAACCATGCCATAATGGTTAGGTTAAAAGATTCAACAGGACAACAGTTAGATCATTTTTTTTATACTAAAATTTCGGTATTTAAAAACTTATATCAATTAATATAGAATTGAATTGATAAATAATTATTTACTTAAAAACAAAAATAATTATATTTAAAAATATAAAATTAGTAATAATTTTAATATTAATAAATTAAAAATTAATTTTTATTTTTTAAATGTAAATTTATTAAAAAATTATGTTTATTACATAATTATATCTTTAAAATATAAATTAAAAAACCCATTTAATTATTTAGTCTTCTTAAACGAAGCAGTGGGGTTGAATGTTGAAACTTCAAACTTGGCCGTTGCTCAATCAAGAGTCATTCAAGAATTAAAATCTTTGATGGAGAATATAAGTAACAAATAATCTATTTGTATACGTACAAAAAATTCAGTTTTTTTTAAATAAAATTTTGAATTTAAATTTATATTAATAAAGTAAAAATTAAATACA